CAATCTGCAGTTTCATGAGTGGCATGACAGACGAGTGTCAGGAACATCCATGCCACTTGCCCAGCTGACTCCTGGTGGGCCAGAGGAGCCAGGAACTCCAGCATCTTCACCACCACCCAAATAGCCCCTAGAGTCAGCGGCACGGACTCCCAATTCTCTGGCACTGCCTAAGCGGTCAAGTGTGTTGTCAGCGGGTACCAAATTGAGGCTGGGCCACATCTCCACCCGCCCCTCTGCATCCAGGGAAGCCAAAGGACCATTTATTTCGCAACCACCAACTCATCCTACAGACTGACACCAAGTGCTGGGAGTCCAGGGGTTGCAGTTCAGGTCTTGGGGTGATGTGGAGAGCAAAGAAGGCAACAGGAATCGTCATGGTGTTCAAAAGAAGCCACTTTATTCTGCTAAAGCTGTACTTTTTATACTACTATAGTGCTGAGTCATGGTTAGACTGAAAATGCACATGCATGTGGCCTTCATGGCCAGGTGTCCAGCCTTCAAGGCCTTTACCTTCTTCCTCACGGGTTCAATACTCTGTGTTTTCAATGTTTACAGACAAGGCTAGGCACGTTTGGCTCCATAAAAGGTCAGACATATCTGGGGTGAAGCAGCAGACAGCTGTCCTCATAGTACACAATTAGGGAAGGTGTTAGGGAGGGCTTCCCTACAAGGGGTGCTAAGGAGGGAGGGAGGGGAGCCCAAGCTTGAGGATCTCATCACGAAGAGCTATCTGGTCCCAGGTGGGAGCCTTGCAGGAGAAGCTGGATGACCAGGGACTTGTGAAGGACCCATTGAGTGTGTGGGGAGGGGCTGGTGCATGGTGGGTAGCGGGACCAGGATGAGCTGGGAGAGTACAAAGCAAGCCTGGAGCTGAGGGAAGGTGCCTGCACCTGGACCAGCAGATTCCACCCAGACTAAAGGTGGAGACAGTGGAGTCACCTGCTCCACCAGCATCGCTCAGTGCTAAGAAGCCCCTGCTCCCTTCTGCCTGAGCCAGTGCCAGGCCCTGGGCCATGAGCTGGGGTAAAGCAGGGAACAAGAGTTTCCTGCTCCAGTGGAGCTCACATTTGAGTATGTGTGTGAGACAGCAAATAACAAACTGGTAAGCCCACCCCACCGGTGGTGTGAGAGCTGTAAGAGAGCAGACAAGGGTTCTCTGTGGGGGCAACTTCAGAGGTGGGAGAGCGGCAGAGCGAACCAGCCACACTTACACTGGAGGGAAGGGTACTCAAAGAGCACGTACCAAAGTCCTGAGGCATGAGAGTGTCACCCAACGTTTGGAAGCCCAGGCAAGCTGGAGCACGGTGCACAAGGGCAGAGCATGGAGCAAGCTGGGCCGGCAGTCTCAAAGCCCTAATTAGGAGCCTGGTTTTCCCCCAGGTCCCAAGTGGAGGGAGGCTATGATGTACATTTCAGGGTCAGATTGGGGAGAAAGGGCCGGATGGAGAGGAGGCTGGGTGAGGCTTGTGCTGGGGACAGACCCGGCAGCATTCACTGTTGATATGGGGCATGAGGACTCGGCTCAGGTGGCCACTTTGAGATGGGAGGCGGCAAGGCAGAAGGGGCTCATGGGAGTGCACACAGCCAAGTTGTCTGCATGTGGACGGTGGCAGCTGGGGTCTGACGCTCACCAGCTCCCCTTTTCAGCCTGGTCCTCAGTCTCTGTGCCCAGCCACCAACTGCCTGCTGGTTTAGTTTCAGCAAGATGGGGGCACCCTCCCATTTTCTGAGGGTGGGGAGACCTGGGGGTTCTCATTACTCCTTTGGAAACTCTGAGCCAATCAACGTCTTCTGCTGGCCTTTGCCCCACCTTCAGGGGAACCCTGTCTGTCCCTGGGCACTGCCAGTCTCCTCAGCCTGACAGGGCAGTCATTGAGGGCTTTGGTTTCTGCTGAAAGCCGCCTCTCCTCATGTTTCCCAGCTGTGAAGCCTTGCCGAGCACCTCCTCCTCTGTCCTCGGTCACCACCTCCAGTCCTCCACCTATCTACGTGGCTGAAAGCAGAGACCCACCTAGGCTGGGTCCATCATATTGGGCATCCTGTGCTCTGAAGGAGGCTGAACAGCTCCCGTGCCCACCCCCAGCAGCCAGCAGCCCCTCCCCATTTGTGACAACCACAAACATCCACAGACATTGCCAACATCCCCTTCTGGGGGGTAGAACCGCCCCCTGCTCTAAGGCAAAGTGAGCCAGAGCAAGGGGTGCGGCGGCAGGATGAGGACATTGTGTGAAACCGTGCTGTACTCAGGGCTTGTGGCCCGTGGCGACAGGGCGGTATTTACCGACCCCTGTGATAAATGTTTGGCGGCCACCAGCCATCGCTTCAAGTCTTACTTCTGTTGTAGATTCTGTACTTGCTGCAGCCAATCTGCAGTTTCATGAGTGGCATGACAGACAAGTGTCAGGAACATCCATGCCACTTGCCCAGCTGACTCCTGGTGGGCCAGAGGAGCCAGGAACTCCAGCATCTTCACCACCACCCAAATAGCCTCTAGAGTCAGCGGCACGGACTCCCAATTCTCTGGCACTGCCTAAGCGGTCAAGTGTGTTGTCAGCGGGTACCAAATTGAGGCTGGGCCACATCTCCACCCGCCCCTCTGCATCCAGGGAAGCCAAAGGACCATTTATCTCGCAACCACCAACTCATCCTACAGACTGACACCAAGTGCTGGGAGTCCAGGGGTTGCAGTTCAGGTCTTGGGGTGATGTGGAGAGCAAAGAAGGCAACAGGAATCGTCATGGTGTTCAAAAGAAGCCACTTTATTCTGCTAAAGCTGTACTTTTTATACTACTATAGTGCTGAGTCATGGTTAGACTGAAAATGCACATGCATGTGGCCTTCATGGCCAGGTGTCCAGCCTTCAAGGCCTTTACCTTCTTCCTCACGGGTTCAATACTCTGTGTTTTCAATGTTTACAGACAAGGCTAGGCACGTTTGGCTCCATAAAAGGTCAGACATATCTGGGGTGAAGCAGCAGACAGCTGTCCTCATAGTACACAATTAGGGAAGGTGTTAGGGAGGGCTTCCCTACAAGGGGTGCTAAGGAGGGAGGGAGGGGAGCCCAAGCTTGAGGATCTCATCACGAAGAGCTATCTGGTCCCAGGTGGGAGCCTGGCAGGAGAAGCTGGATGACCAGGGACTTGTGAAGGACCCATTGAGTGTGTGGGGAGGGGCTGGTGCATGGTGGGTAGCGGGACCAGGATGAGCTGGGAGAGTACAAAGCAAGCCTGGAGCTGAGGGAAGGTGCCTGCACCTGGACCAGCAGATTCCACCCAGACTAAAGGTGGAGACAGTGGAGTCACCTGCTCCACCAGCATCGCTCAGTGCTAAGAAGCCCCTGCTCCCTTCTGCCTGAGCCAGTGCCAGGCCCTGGGCCATGAGCTGGGGTACAGCAGGGAACAAGAGTTTCCTGCTCCAGTGGAGCTCACATTTGAGTATGTGTGTGAGACAGCAAATAACAAACTGGTAAGCCCACCCCACCGGTGGTGTGAGAGCTGTAAGGGAGCAGACAAGGGTTCTCTGTGGGGGCAACTTCAGAGGTGGGAGAGCGGCAGAGCGAACCAGCCACACTTACACTGGAGGGAAGGGTACTCAAAGAGCACGTACCAAAGTCCTGAGGCATGAGAGTGTCACCCAACGTTTGGAAGCCCAGGCAAGCTGGAGCACGGTGCACAAGGGCAGAGCATGGAGCAAGCTGGGCCGGCAGTCTCAAAGCCCTAATTAGGAGCCTGGTTTTCCCCCAGGTCCCAAGTGGAGGGAGGCTATGATGTACATTTCAGGGTCAGATTGGGGAGAAAGGGCCGGATGGAGAGGAGGCTGGGTGAGGCTTGTGCTGGGGACAGACCCGGCAGCATTCACTGTTGATATGGGGCATGAGGACTCGGCTCAGGTGGCCACTTTGAGATGGGAGGCGGCAAGGCAGAAGGGGCTCATGGGAGTGCACACAGCCAAGTTGTCTGCATGTGGACGGTGGCAGCTGGGGTCTGACGCTCACCAGCTCCCCTTTTCAGCCTGGTCCTCAGTCTCTGTGCCCAGCCACCAACTGCCTGCTGGTTTAGTTTCAGCAAGATGGGGGCACCCTCCCATTTTCTGAGGGTGGGGAGACCTGGGGGTTCTCATTACTCCTTTGGAAACTCTGAGCCAATCAACGTCTTCTGCTGGCCTTTGCCCCACCTTCAGGGGAACCCTGTCTGTCCCTGGGCACTGCCAGTCTCCTCAGCCTGACAGGGCAGTCATTGAGGGCTTTGGTTTCTGCTGAAAGCCGCCTCTCCTCATGTTTCCCAGCTGTGAAGCCTTGCCGAGCACCTCCTCCTCTGTCCTCGGTCACCACCTCCAGTCCTCCACCTATCTACGTGGCTGAAAGCAGAGACCCACCTAGGCTGGGTCCATCATATTGGGCATCCTGTGCTCTGAAGGAGGCTGAACAGCTCCCGTGCCCACCCCCAGCAGCCCCTCCCCATTTGTGACAACCACAAACATCCACAGACATTGCCAACATCCCCTTCTGGGGGGTAGAACCGCCCCCTGCTCTAAGGCAAAGTGAGCCAGAGCAAGGGGTGCGGCGGCAGGATGAGGACATTGTGTGATGAATCTCAGCTCTTTAGAATGCAGGGCCTGAGGTGGTGGTCACAGTGTGGGAGGCAGCGGGCAGGGTCAGGACTGCAGGCATCCGGCCTCCACAAACCCCACCGTAGCTTCCAAGGCATCTAGGGCCAGTTAGGCAGGGTCTGTAGAGGAGCATAGTATTTTGTCATGCAAGGGGTCACGCCTACCCTGAGTTGGCAACTTCCTGTTCTGATTTCTGTGTTGGTCTCTTTGAGTTTAGTTAATGCAAGGCTGCTCCCAAGAGACACATCTGGAGGCAGTGACCAGTTGATCTCTGGCTCTGCAGTCCCAAGGCCAACCCTGGGCTGGGAGATGGCACCAGCATTCTATGCCAGGAAGGTCTGGGGAACCGTCACTGTACCCCCAAACTGGAAGGAGGTCAGCAGAACACAGTGAATGGGTCAGGAAGTGTTTATTATAGGAGAGAACAGATATTAACATGCGGCAGGACAGGACACAGCCTGCGACAGACACCAGGGAGGAGCTGGCCAAGAATGCGGGCCTCGTGCAGCTCCACTGGATTCAGGACACAGCATGTAGAAGGCAAGCCACGGGAAAACCAGTCGGAAACACAGGGCAACACATATCCCGTGTACAGCAATGCTTATTCTCTAAGGATGGAGAGAGTGAGCATAAAGTACAAGAAGCTTAACACATTTGACTGGTTGGGAAGTGACATTTCTGGATGGTCAAAGTAACAGTGGGAAACACCAGTGTAGGGGGAGTGTCTGCCAGCGCAGGCCCCAGGGCGCCAGTTGCATGGCATGCCAGGCTCCCTCCATCCCCCAGGTGCATGAGCGCGACATACATTCCACCTGGTGACTGCAAGGATGCCAGTGCGCCGAATCACAGGAGCCAGACATGCCAAAAGGGACAGGGACACTACAACCTGACCAACTGCAATGCCACGTGAACAGGCTGCAGTGACATGGGGCATGTGTGGTAACAGGGAGCTCCTGTGGATAACTGAGGCAGGGCTGAGGCAGACTGGGTGTCACCCGGAGGGGACGGCATCTGCAGGCCTTGGAAACCCATGTCTATGGAGTCTGCAGGTGACTGCCCCCATGGCCATGCCAGGATTCCGCACGGACTTTGGTCAAGAGGAAGACCCGCTCCTCAGTTTGCCGAACAGGCGGCTGGAGTTTTTGAGGACTCTAGGTGGTGGCACACTCCTGGCCAGGCACAGAGGCCCCTGAAGACACTGGTTGCCGCTGGAGCAGAGCCCTGTCCTTGCACCTGAGACCCAGAGCCCACCTCACCCTCTTCATGGCTGCTCCCACTGTGGCCCCCTGTCAGTCCCCCTCCGGCCCCCACCCTGCTTCCTTGGGCCTCAGAGATACCCGCTTCAGCCCTCCATCCTGGCTCACTGAGAACCCTGCCCTTGCCATGAGCAAATGTCTAAGTGTGCTCAGCGCCACCAGCTTCCGCCACGACCTGTGAACTGGGAGCAATGGGCCCTCCTCCCTAGTGCAGGGACTGCAGGACTCGCCCTGTCCCGCATCCTCTGCAGTGGCCTCGGGTCTAGTTCAGAAGCAAATAAATGACCGTATTTTGGTGCTTGAACTGCGTAGACAAGAGGTGATTAGCAATAAAGCTCAGGTGACAGTCTGGTGGCCAGAGCCTCCCGCTCTCACCAGTGTGAGTAACCAGAGACCAGTCACTGGCCACACTCCAGTCCCAGGGGAGGAAGCAGGGCCCCGTTCCCCTCAGGCCACAGCTGCAGGAACAGGAACAGGTGCTGGCCTGGCCCACAGAATGCCTGCGTGAAGTCCATCCCCAGCTGTCTACAGGCATCTGAGTCCCTTCAAGGTCCTCTGAGGCCCCTGCTCTCTAGCGGGAGCCTGCTCAGGCCCGACGTGCTCCTGCAATGAGAACCACGCTCAGCAGCGAGGCACACCCCAAAGGATATGCTCTGGAAAGGCACTCCAGCCACTCTTGGAATGGGTGCTCTGTGCCTGCAGGGTTCTACCTGGCAGGTGCCCCCAAACCACTGGCTGCAGGGAGGAACAAGTGCTGAGGAGGCAGCACCAAAGACACGTGCAGGGCTGCCGCTGTGAGTGGTCCACCTCTGCAAAGGGCCATGGGCACCTGGGTTTTCAAGTCTCCTGCTCTGGCCTCAGATGCAACCCCCTCACTGGTCCACCCACAGGCATCTACCTTGAGTGTAAACTCTGCCACCCACACCCCCAGTCCCCACTTGTCCCTCACCCATGCAGCTGGCGAGGTCTCCTTTCTTCCCGCACTGAGGCTTTCTCTTCTCTGTCATTGGTCTCTGTTCCTCTTCGGAGCTTGGGAATGGGGTTCTCGTGTTAGTTCTATGGTCCCTTTTTATGGGTATTTCATCAGGAACTTTGTGCTTGGGGGTGGTCTGCTCTCACATCCTAGAGAGGATGAGAAATGCCTTTTGAATAAATAAATGCAATTGTTATTGGGCTCCTTTTTCAGGAAAAAGCCAGTTATGAGAGGAGGTGATGGCTGTGACTGCATGGAGCCTGGTACCTGTCAGCGGGGTCTCATGGAGAGCGAGACAGGGGCTACAGTGGGAGGCTTAACCATAGAGTCCAGACCTGGATGGCCACTGGATCCCAAGAAAAGTGCTTATTTTTTAAAAACTTAAAGTTGGGAAATATATCAAACACATAAACTTAGGTGTACACGATAGGATGAAGCGACAGCAATGGGTCAAACACCCACTCACTCCCCATCCAGCTGAGGAACCAGACATCCCCAGGCCCCGAAGCCCGAGGCCCTAGGTGGCCCCCTCTCCCCCATCTTACCACACATGCCTGCCCCAATGGCCCACCTTACACCTTACAACAGGAAAAATGCTGCCAGATGCACTTCCCGCTCAGTGCTGAGGGCCATGTGTGCACACTGCTGTGCATTTACCCACTTTCCGCTGATGCCCATTTGTGCTCTAGGCTTCCTGACATTCTACATACACTATGGATGTTACTGTGTGTCTCTCTGGGTGCACACACAGAAGTTTCTCTAACGGGTATTATTAGTAGGTCAGGTTTCTGTGTTAGAAGATTTGCACATCTTCAACTTGTGAGAAAATGCCAGTTACTAAAACAGATAACATTTTAAAATTGCATTGTTAATTGTGTATAAAATTCAACTGACTTTGTGGTAAAAGATACAAAATATTTCAATGATTCCTAAGTGTGCAATTCAGTGGCATTAAACATTCACAATGCTATCTAGGTCCAAAACCTCCCATCATCCCGGACAGAACCTCTGCACCCATTAACTCTGGTTTGCTTTGTCTCAATGCACTTGCCCCCTCCTGGAACCTCACGGCAATGGAATCATCCGGCACTTGCCCTTGTCTCGCTTGTCATTAAGCGTGTTTCCAGGTTCACCCATGGTGCAGCAGCACATCAGTACCTCATCCCTTTTCTGGCTGCAGTATTTCACTGGAGAGACCATCTTATCTGTCTGCTGATGGACATGTGGGCTGTTCCCACCAATAGCGATTCTGAACATCCATGTAGAGCCAAGTGTCCGAGTCCCTGCTTTCAGTTCTTCTAGACAGGCATCTCTGTGGGCTTTTGTACACTCACCTTCTAGGTGACAACCTTGCTAAACCCCTAACAATTTCAGCAGTTTGTGATTATCTTTGGATTCTATGTAGACAGACTTATCAGCTGACACGGACAAAGGGATGCCAGCTCCAACCTCATGTGTGCTCTTCCCCTCACCTCACTGCGCTGCCAGGCTCCCCGCTACAGTGCTGAACCGAGCCAGTGGCTGCAGGCATCCCTGTGTGCTTTTGGTTTCAAGGGGCAAAAAGTGCTGAGCACCTATTCGTAGGGCACAGTGTGGCCACAGGTTTGGGAGATATTCTTTATCAGGGTTAGAAAATTCTTTTACATTCCTTACTTATGAAGAGATACTAATCATGAATGAATTTTTGCAAACATTTTCGCTTCTACTGAGACAATAACCTCTTCCCCTTAAATCTATTGTGAGACATGATGTCGATTTTGAGCCAGATTTGCATTCCTGAAATAACCCTAACCTGGCTGTGCTGTAGCATCTTTCCTGGCTTTTGGAGCTGGCTGGCTAATGTTGTTTGGGCTTCTGCATCTGTGAGCCTGGGGCCCAAGTCGTGCCTAACGTTGGTATCACTATTGCAGCAGCCTCACCAAGGTGGAGCAGGCTTCCTCTCTCCCGTCCTGGAGCCTGCGCGCCTGGACCTGCATTTCTCTGGGGCTGGGGGGTGGGGGCTGAGTTGTTGGGGCTGCCCCTGGAGCTTCAGCAGCGACCTGTGGAGCTGTCACTGGCCTCAACGTGCCTGCCGTTATCCTGCTTTCTTGTTCCTGAGAATTCATCTGCTCCATCTCTTTTGCTTGATCCTGTCGCCAGGGAATGTCAATTTTTAAGTCCTTTCAAAGAACTGATCTTACTCTTTTAATTCTCTCCGTGGTATCTGCTCCTGTTACTTTATTCATTTTTCTTTTTTTTTCTTATTTCCTCTCTTCTACTTCATTTTGCTGCTCTCTTTACAACTTTTAAGGTTGGATGCTTGGCTGACTCATCTCCAGCTCTTGAGCTGGTCATAAGATAAGCACATGAGGTACCCAGGGGCTTTGGCAAGCTGTGTCTTTATTATCACTGGAGTTTAAGTATTTTTATAACTCTCATTATGTTTTTTTCTTTGACTCAGGTTATTCAGGTTTTCCTGGAATATGAGTTTCAATTGAACAACAAAACACCCCATCAGAACAGAGATCGATCTGAAAGATTCAGCTTTAGTACTTGGTGGTGGGTGATGTTATGACCATGAGCTCAGAAGAAATGAGATGTGAGCCCATCTGTCTGAGCCAAAGGACTGGAAGCAAAAAAGACCATTGACTTTAGTTTGTACCCTCATGACTATAAACTGAATTTAAAAAATTTCCAAGTGTATTTTGTTGAAGGTATTTTCCTGTTGTTTCCTGGGCTGACTGGTTGAATTATGCTGCAGTCTTTTCCTGGGAGATGAATCAAAGGCGTCAGCATGCGGGGCCACCTACCACACACATGAGCAAAGGGTCCACCTTACCAAGAGCCCGTGACAAGTGCTGACACTTGCTAAGCAGTTTGGCTGAGCCAGCACTGCACTTGGGACTCCAAGTAGTAAGTCACTGACTTAGGTTCAGTGCATCACACCTTCATGTCACAGCTGAGCAAAACCAGGTGTGCGGTGAAACAACACATCTAGGCCCACACCTCCAACGCTCAGGGTCAATTCAGTACCACGAGCCTGAGCCCTCTGCTCTTCACCACCTGCTTCCTCGCTAAAATCAAAGACATTAGATTAGAATGTGTGTCTTTTCTTCTAAAAAACTGGGAAGGATTAAACCCACCTGCCCACTGTGGAGAGGTCAGGGTAATAAGCCTGCTGTCTGTGGAAGACAGGGCACCTATGCCGCACAGCCTGGAGGAAGGTATTCGCCAGAAAGATCTCTGCCTGTCATTCCACTTCTGGGGACCCGTTCCGTCTGCCCTAAATGTGGGAAAGATATGTTTATCACATTTATAACATTATTTATGATGACCTAACTGGCAACAGCCTACATGTTCTTGTTAGGAAATGGTTTATGCAGCCATAAAAAATGGTTCCTCCTCACGTCATTGTAGATTAATGATACCAAAATACAAAAAAAATGCCTTCCATGGTAATAAGGTGAAAACATAGTAACACAGAAAGAGGTAACCTTTCTGCAGCATATGGGGCATACTGTAATATGTTACATATAGTAATACCTAAATGCTGACATACTACAATAAAAACCGAACCAAAGCAGATACGAACACTCTTGGGACATGTGGGAACTGGGGATGGAGCTGGAGCTGGAGCTGTGTCTGGGTGCCCATCCCTGGCTTCCAGTGCCCCACAACCAGCAGTGCAGCACATCTGCTGTGAGCGCCTGCATTCCCAGCACCCGGCCCAGCCCCCGTTTCTGAAGGACTTGGGGCTTCCAGGATAGGGTGAACTCACACACCATTTATCTGTACCAGGACAAATCCAGCTCATTGCCTGTCTTTGTAGACAAAGCTCTACTGGCAAGCAGCCACGCCTGCTCATTTCTGAACTGTCTGCCTGCTGTCACACACCACGGCCAGGCTGAGCGGCAACAGAGACCTTATGGCTGCAGAGTCAAGAACAGTTATTATCTGGCCCTTTTCTGAAAGCTTGCCAACCATTGTCCAGATTCAGGAATGTGGACATTTAGCCAATTTGCTTTGTCATTTTCTTGGTATATACACCTGTCTTGCTACTGTTTGCTGAGCATCTGAGAGTAAAGTGCAGACACCACGACCCGGTACCCATAAAGACCTCAGGTGCATCCTCTGGGTGTGCAGAGACATGGTCTGGAGGCTGCAGGCCATGATCAACCCTTGGAGCACTGAAACTGAGATGAGGCAGTCCTGCAGCCCAGTGTACAGCCCGGACCCAAGGTTTGATGGGCCCTGGCAAGGACCTGTGTGACCAGGACCACAGGCATCTCCCGAGCCAGCTCCTGGCACCTGCCTTTCAGCAGTTTTGCCTCATCAGCTATGGGTCTCTGGGACTGAGAGCAGTGTTACAGGAGCAGCTGTGGGCTGGAGTGCATGCGGGAGGGCAGCTTGCCATGACATGGAGCGGAAGCCCAGCTCAGCCGGGAGGAAAGGCAGCAGGACCCATTCACCTGAGAAACACCTGCAGCGTGAGCCCTGCCCTCTGCCATGCGGGGTGGCTTGAACAGAGGGCTCGGTCCCCACTGTTGCACCAGTCTGCTCTCAGGACAATCCCCAACGACTAAGATCTTGAGTAGCTTTTCAGCCCAAACAGCTGTTACACAGCTGGTTTTGGCTCCTGGGGTAGTCACCTTGCCCCACATACAGTGTGGAAATCCTGCACACCCAGGAGCTCAGAGCACCCCAGTCCACTCCTGGAGGGGGCACAGTGTGTGGGCTTCACCAGGGTAGGATAGAACCTGGGGGCTGGGCACAGAAAAGTGGAACTAACCTGAACAGAGAGCTGGTGGAGGGCAGAACACACCACCTCCTGTTTGAGGAACAGGATCGATACAGCCATCAGCATCCTGGGGCTTTCCATGTGGCCAGGACAGGAATCCCCCACTGGCAGGCAGGGTTTAGGCTCTGAGGACCCTGTACCCATGAAAACCTTGTGTCCTGAGTGGTCCACCTGATAAGTCAGGCTGCTCATCTTGGATGCTAGCTGGGCTGGGAGGACACACAGGGGGTCCAGTTCCTGGGGACGGGAGTGCCGAGTTCAAGGACTGGTGCTCCAGCCCAAGAAGTCAGAGAACAAATCACAGGACTGTCTTTGCAGCCAGCCCAGAGGAGACAGCAAGAGTCTGGTACAGTTCAGCGGGCACCTGGGTCCCCGGTGCTCACTCTGGATGCCCTGCTGTCTAGCTCAGGTCCCCAGGTCTCCTGCCAGGCTGCGAGGATGGGCTCAGGACCCAGAGGGCCAAGAGTCTGCAGACCAAGTCTTTAAAGGTGCAGGTCAGAGGGTCTAAGCCAGTGTGCCGGCCACCCCAGGAGGTATGGGGCTATATGCACACACCAGGTGCCTCTCCTATGGGCTGTGCTGGGCTCTGAAGCCTGTCCCATGGATGGCAGTTCATCATCACTGTGTCTGACACTGGCTGCAGGGGGGTTCCGCACATTCATGGTGTCTTGATCCTAACGGGTTCACTGGACCATAAGGGTCTTTTGGCACTTGGACCCTTGCTTATCTAACTGGGCATATTTTCCCAGTGATGAAGGGGAACTGAGCAAAAGTGCATCACGTACATTCCTCACAGACCCCCGGCCTCGGCCAGGCACTGACCAAGGTGGGATCGCACAGTAGGCCTGCGGGCACAGTGCTGAGTCCTGGCAGACAGCGCCCCGCGTCAGTGCTTCCTCCGTGGGTGGCGTTTCCGATGGCGAATAAGACACGAGCTATAGGCAAAGGCTTTCCCACATTCCTTACATTCATAGGGCTTCTCGCCCGTGTGTGTTTTCTGATGTTTCAGGAGATTCGAGCCGCAGTTGAAGGCTTTCCCACACTCACCACATTTGAAGGGCTTTTCTCCGGTGTGGATCCTCTGGTGTTTAGTCACATCAGAGCTGTGCCTAAAGGTCTTCCCACACTGATCACACCCGAAGGGCTTCTCTCCAGTGTGAACTCTCTGGTGGCGAATGTGATCAGTCTTGTGCTTAAAGATGCGTCCACATTCACTGCATTCATAGGGTTTCTTTCTCTGAAAAGGAATGAATACAGGAACCCCCTCAAAGTCATCTTTAAAGGAAGCATCAAAGGCATTGAATATATGTTCCTCATCCTCAGGACTCAGGCCGGGCTCTTTTCTGTGCTTCTTAGCTGAAGCGGACCTCTCGCTTGGCTTCCTGTTCCCAGACGCTCTCTCTCCTTTGGGAGAGTCCTTCTGCAAATCTCCCTCCTCCTTTGAGGCCTGTGTCTTCATTACTTTGCCAGTGGGCTTTTCCATCTTCCTCTGTCCCCAAGGAGGAAAGACCACTGGAAGCCGGTAAGTGCCAAAGAAAATGGCCGGGGCAGAATCTCCAGCCTTCTGAATTTCCTTCTTTGGAAATGTCTTGCTTTAAGCCCAACTCTTCATTTTTCTGAGCTTGTATTAGAGCTCTGGGACAGAAAAATCTGCAACACAAAGAAGAGTGTCCCCAATCCTTTTGTCTTTGGAGAGAGGACCACGAACATCCAACTGAACAGGTGTCTGGAAGGCACAGTGCTGAACCACCGGGGTGGATGGGAAGGCAAGGGGCAGAGGTGAGGACCGGGGCCCGTCGCTTCCCTGCTCATGCAAGCCCACATGGACCTCTCATGAGTGTCTCAACCCAGACCATCAAACAATACTTGATCTCACAGAACCCTCACCCCACCTACTCTTCCCAGTTCTCCTCATTGCAGTAAATGTCATCATCCTTTACTCAACTAACCAAGAAATGCTTATTCCTCTGCCAAGGGATGGGGTGTCCACGCCTGTGCCCAACAGGATTTGTGCCATGGACCAATGACTGCCCTGTGGTCCCCAAATTAAAGGTTTTCCTGCCCTTTGCTCACTCCTCCACTTCCTGTGTTTGGGACCAGACAATGTGCTTCTGGGCCTATAGGCTGCAGGAGCCACAGATGCCCCTCATGGAAGGCATGTCCCATCACTTAGAGAGCCTGGATCCTAAACTGCCTGAAACATGGGGCTGGCTTCCTGAAGCCTCTCCTCATGCCTCCTTCTCCACACAGCACCAGTGAACCCCCATTATGTCCCTGCTCAGCTCCCCAGTGGCTTCCTTCATACTTGTAAGTCCTACACACTCTGGGCCCTCTATCCCCTCCAGCCACCCAGCCTTCTTTAGGTTCCCCAAACACACCCAGCCTTTCCTGTCTCTGTGCCTGGCCACCTCTGGACATAGGCCTGAAAGCAGGTGGTCACGGGGCTGGCCCCTCACTCATTCAGAGCTCTGCTACAGGGGTGCTTCTCAGAGAGGACTCCTTTACCCAGCCAAACACTGCCTCCCACTCTTTTCTCTTGTAGTTTTCCCTTGTAGCACCTAACCTGAGCCAATTCACTCACTGAGGGCCAAAGTCCTGGGTAAGCAGCTAGGATCTTGTTACACTGTCTGAAAAACCTGATATTCCTGCCCCTAATTCCAGCTATAAGCATCCCAATTTCACAAGATCAAGCAGGACTCTGCCAGCCCTGTGACAAGTCAGGACAGGTATGTGTGACAGGGGTGTCACCTAGGTAGCTCAGGACAGCTTGTGAAGAGCCCCTGCCTGGTTCTTTTCTGTGTCATCCCTGAAATTCCTAGCCTGCCTCTTCCCTCTGTGCTAATGCAGTTCAGCACAAGGCCTGAACAAACTTCAGGATCTAAATTTACCTACTAGTGAGACCCCCACAGGGTCAGGAGCGCTCTCCTCAGCCCCAGCAAAGCAAACCGTTCTGCTCCTCACGCCACCTTTGCAGGAGTTTGAGGCTGGGGCCCAGTTCTGGTAGGACACTGAGGTGAAAACTGAGGACCAGTATGAAAGCAAAATCAGCCCTGGAGCCCCTCGGAGCTCGCTGTTATAGAGGGCGGGTGTAAACTCACCTTGGCTTTCTGCAACCCCACTTGACGGAGGGGTGTGGCCCCTGAACCCAGAGCCTGACACCTGCCCCACCCAGGGCCTGCATGGGTTCCTCTGTTCCCCAAGCACTGTCCCCCCCTACCAGGACTTGTCACTTCACCCATGGCTCATCACTGATGAGGTGGCCTTCCTATGAGGCTTGGGTTCTTGAGGACAGGATGTCTTTTTAAAACCCAAATCCCCAGTTACCTGGTGAGAGCCTGTACATACCGGTGCAAAGGACACATTTGAGATAGTCGTCTCATCTGTGCAGCTCAAGCCGGCAGGTACTTAATGGCAGAGCCTGGACTTACTTCTCCAAGCGCTGTGCTCACCAAATAATGAAACACTTGTTAAAAAGAGGGTAGACTAGGGCTCCTGGTCTTGGCCCCTCATTTCTTAGGCCGCAGACAGGAGTGACTGCTTCAGCCACACACAACTCGCAACCCGCCAGAGCAGGGCCAGGGTACCTGCGGCCAACGCGGAGCCCCTCCGGTCCCTGGACCAGGCATCTCGCAGCACGACGCTCCGGACGCCCTGCGGGAGCGCAGCTCTGCCGCCTAAGGGCAAACCCGCGCGCCCCAACCGTCTGCGGCCCGGGCTGCCTACGGCCACCCAGCGCGCAGAAGCGGCCGCCAACCGAAGCCACAGCCGCGTGCGCAGGGCCCCGGCGACGCCTCCGCCTCAGTCCGCACCCTCCTCCCCGAGGCGCCTAGGGCTCCCCCGCAGTGAGTTCCCGGGCTGGAGGGAGGTCGGGGCGGGCGCGGCCCTCGCGGGAGCCTGGGCCAGTAACCGGAGCGCCCTCCCCGAACCCCGCCATCCCGCCGCCTCGACGCGCCTTCCCCGCGGGCAGCCAGCTGCATCGCCAGACCCTACCGCCCCGGAAGGCCCCGCACTGACCCCGCCTCTTCCTGCGCCGCTCTAGGGCCGTGGCTTCTCGATGGTGCGCCGCAACGAGCTCCGCCCCACGCTGGTTTCGCTCTCCCCGCGAGGACCTCGCCGTCCGCCCCGCCCCGCCCCGCCCCTTCCGGCGCTGCTCTGTGTGCCCCGCCCGCTCCGCCGGCCCCGACCTTCTCCTCCAGTTCTGCCTTGGCCCTCAGCCGCCTTCCTTGCCCCTGCGCCCTGCTTAACCCTGCATCGCCTCGCCCCTCCGCCCCCGACTCGCCCTGTGTCCCCACTCAGCCCCTGCGCCCCCACTCGCCATGAGCGCCCCACTTGCCCTGCGCCCCCACTCACCCGGTGCCCCCACGCTTCAGCCACTGGACCTCTCGCACACCCCGCAGGCGCACCCCAGTCCGCATGCAGCTGTGCTGGCAGCCCCTCCCCGGTGTCTGACTGGCTCACTGCCTCTTCTGCCCACCGAGTGCCCACCTCCTCAATGAGACCGACCTGACCACCCTGTGGGTACTAAGTTTCCTGGGTATCCATAGTTACAGCAGCACAGGGTTATTCACGGTTCCTGTGGGACAGGAGTGCAGGCGCTTAGCGGGTCCTCTGCTGCGCTCACCAGGCTGCGGTCCTGCTGTCTCAGGCTGTGCTCCCAGCTGGAGGGGCCACTGCCCAAGGATTGCTTCGCGACCTTGTGGTTGGCAGGATACGTTTCCTGGTGGCTGTGCCCCTGAGGGTTTGCTTGCTCCTGGCTAATGGCTGGCCTTAGGTGCTAGAGGTCGCCAGCTGTTCCCTGCCACATGGCCCTGTTCGTGAGTTGTCCCAGCACAGCTGTTTGCTCTTTCAGGGCCAGCAGGAGAGCCTCCTGACGGCGTGTTCGGGGGAGTCCTGTATAACCTAAACTGACCTTGGGAGGGACCTCCTGTCCCCTCTGGCGTATTCTGTTGGTTAGAAGTAAGGCAAGTGCCGCCTGCATGCGCGAGGAGGGGCCAGCGCTCTGCTGCTTCCTCCACCTCCCAACCCCCGTCCTTCCCTGCGGCTTTTACATAGCTTCCCACCTTGCCCTGCCTCTCAGCTGTCACGGTCCCCTCAGCTGGGCCTTCCAGGGACCTGCCTGTCCCCCTTCTTGCTGCCCCCTCCCATCGCGTGTTCTCGCAGGAAGTGTGGCTACGGCCTCGCTCCCTGCACCTCACTGACTCGCTCCGGACCCAGCGCGGGCCAGGCCTGAACACGGGCCTGTCTTACTGTCTTACCTTTACCATGTCATGCCCTGTATTTTCACTTGTGTGTCTGCTCCACGTGTACCTCTACCTCTGACTGTGGTCAGTGCCTGCCCTGTCCACCGCCTCCTTGCATTTTCAGAAGTTATGGTTACCTCTGCGTCCCAACGTGCATGTGAGTCACACTCTTCCACTCGCTTCTCTTGCGTCCTCGCCATGAGGCCCCAGCCAGCACATCCACCGGCTGCCGCCCACCTTCTTGTGGCATTTCCCGGCATCTCTTGGTTGGAAGAAGCTTCCGGCAGGTCCCCATGACAGGTTCGCAGGACAGGACCCGTGCGCTGGTGCGAGGCTGGGGATCTCCTGTATTGTGGCCGCTTGAAGGGAGGCTTGAGTGGACACACAACTCCCTGTTCACATTTTCTTCCTTGGAGCATTTGAGAATGCTGCGCGGTGGCCACCTCGCTCACCCTGGCGGGTCTGGAGAATCTTCACTTTGCTCTCATCCTTCTGCTCTTGGAATTATCTGGTCTGTTGCCTGGATGCCTCCAATTTTCCTTTAGTGTTGAAAGCTCGTGGCTTTCCCAAGGGGTCTCAGACTTGATCATTGCAGCTTATGCTTTCTTGGCACCTGGTGAGTTTTTTCAAGATGTAAATTTAGTCTTCTTTTTTTTGGAAAGTTTTCTTGGTCCTAGAAAAGTGGTTTTCTTCAGGAATTCCAATTTTACATACATTATACAGTTGACCCTTGAACAACGTAGGGGTTGGACATGCTGACCCCACGTAGTAGAAAATCTGTGCATAACTTTGGACTCCCCCAAAACCTAACTACTACTAGCCTGCTGTTGACCAGAACCCTTACCAATACCATAGTGAGTATTTTGCATGTGGTATGTTTTATACACTGTATTCTTATAACAAAGTAAGCTAGAGAAAAGACAGTGTTTTTTCAAATTGTTTCAAATCTCCAATTTTCCAGTATAGTCATTGAAAAAAAAAATCTGTGTGTAAGTGGAGTCATGCAGTGCAAACAAACCCATGTTGGTCAAGGCCAGTTGTGCCTTCTTCGCCTGTCTCCGTTCCAGCCCCCATCTCTCTGAAAATTCTTTCTTTCTGTATTTCAAGTCCCTGCCATCTCCCTGCTTTTCCTCAAGGTTCCATGTTTATTTCCATTCAGAATAAGTCCTTCCTGGTACATCTTGTCATTTAGTCTGCACTTATGATCAGTTTTTGGTTTTCCTTCTATGCTTTCCTGAGTTCATTGATTTCTTCCTGGTTTTTTAGTCATTTCTGTTCTCATTCAAGTGTGTGTGTGTGTGTGTGTGTGTGTGTGTGTGTGTGTCTTCTTGTTTACCCATATCTTCAAGTACCTGTGGGTATTTGGTTCTGTCTGGAGGGTTGTTTTGCAGTTTTCTCCTAATTTGCCACTGGTTATTTGGGGAATTTTCATGAGCTGAATTGCTTGCCTCTCCCTTCCTCCTCTCCTTATGGGGAGGTGTAGGGCCACCACCACTGTGTCAGTGTAGCAAAGTGTAGTTTCTTTATCGGGTGGCTTTTGTCTTTGGAGGGGAAAGGTTGTGTGATGTTTGATTTTAAAAAACTTTCTTTTGTCCTACAGGACCTTAACTTCCCCCTCTTCCTTCTTGTTTTACAGGTAATTTGAAACAGGCATGTGCTCTGTCGCGTAGCTATGCCTGGGGCATATGTTTTCTGTCTCTGTTGCTATTCCTCTCGTTCATTGCTGTTTTGAAGGGCATGCTGGGGGATCAGATTCGCACCGCTGCTATTGCTCCAGCCTTGTGGAACCCCTAGCACAACGAACAATTCAAATGCAGCAGCCTCTTGCATTGACACTCTCTGCCAGATTGGGCATGTGTGGGTGAGGCACATGAGAGGAAAGGTGAATGGAAAAGAAATTCACACTGAAGTGGAAAAAATACACACTACAATATTAAAATGCAGAATCTATCACTACTCAAGGCTCGAATAAGCATGTGAACACATGAAAACACCATCTGGTTAAGTAACGGGCTTGTGGGCAGTTTTTATCTCAGATTTCTGAGTCATTTTCCTCCTGCTTGATTTGGTTGTTGTGGGATTTGGCTCAGCTCAAGAGAGTGTGGGCAGGTTGTCCCAGGTTGGGAAGGAGCAGAGGCGAGCTGATCTGGGTCTGGACCCCAACCGCATCTCACCTGGCTGGTGCTCGGGTGAGCGCCTTAACCTTGCACAGCTCAATATTCTGACCTGTACAATGGGGAGAGGAATTCGATCTCATGAGATTTTTTAAAATTAATTAATTAATTTTGTTGTCATTAATCTACAATTACATGAAGAATATTATGTTTACTAGGGTCCCCCCTTCACCAAATCCCCCCCCCACAAACCCCATTACAGTACTGTCCATCAGCCTAGTAAGATGCTGTAGAATCACTACTTGTCTTCTCTGTGTTGCACAGCCCTCCCC